CCCTATTAGTTATAAGAAGGGTGTCTGCATGTGAGCAGAATATTATTTTCTTTTATTTTATTATTGTAAAGAAATTGTAATTGTGTGTGTTCTATCCAGGGGGGAGGGGTGTTGTGTCCTGGGCCTGATGAGGAAACTCAGCAGGCCCAGAAATGTTGCAAATGGTCCCGGGCATTCTAAAACCTGCCCGGGACCAGACAGAGCAGCGCCAGCCTTGTGTGCATGCGCAAGGCGCGAAGAAAGGAGAATTCCTATTGGTTCACTCTGTCCGGGTTTCAAGCCCTATAAAAGGCCTGCGTTCCTTTTGTTTCTTTGCTTGGAGTTGGAGAAGGAGAATAAAGTGTTGTTACTTGTCACCATGTGTCTTCATCATTCGCACGCGAACGAAGGATTTAACAGCCGCCTCATCACCAAACTGGACAGGTTGCACCCAGACCGGGTGGCTTCACAGGTGTCACAACCACGGGCACCTAGGAGACTTCAGGTGGGCGATCCGGTTTGGGCAAGGAACTATGGGCCTGGACATCTCTGGGTCACAGCTTTGGTCTGCAAGGTCTCTGGGCCGTTGTCATACGAAGTTGCCTTGGATGATGGCCGCATTCTTCGCAGACACATAGACCAACTGCGTTGGAGACTGGACAGCCACGTTTCCTCTCCTGGCTCTGCTCTGGGGGGGGGAGGAGGACCAGAATATGCATTCTGGGTCACAGGTTCTCAGGCCTAACAGGGCCTCACAAGCTGCTGAGGCTGTTGGGGGGGTCATCCTAAGATTCCGCAAGTGCTCCAAACAGGAATTCCCAGGATAGGGGGTCATCCCGCACATCCGTTATTGCTCCAGAAAGGGAGTCACACCGGGGTATCCACATTATTCAAACATGTCAGATAGTGCTCCAGACAGGGAGACAGACCGGAGGTATCCAAATAAATCAAACACAGCCATAGAAGGGGAATTCCATCAGGGGCACTCTCACAATTCAGCTATTGCTCCAAAAAGGAAGTCAGTAGCAAGGGGGGTTGCCATGGAGGTGGCTCCTGACTCTGGCACCTCTGGCACGTGCTCGGGGGCTACGGAGTACGGGGGCACTTCTGCCACCCAGGCATCTCCATTTGCTGGCCTTGGGCTCGAGGGACAGTGTTCCCAAGAGGAGTCCATTGTGGACTCGGGGACTTCCACCCCTCCAAGGTACACTGGCTTGGACTCAGAGGGTACAGCCAGTCAGCAGCTGGGTGGGTCACCTGGGTATTTAGGGCATCAAAGCCCTGGCCTGCCTAGCCTGATAGGCGAGCAGGTTGTCCAGGCAACATCACCAGCCCTTAGAAGGTCGCAGCGGGCCAAGTGCCCACCTAAACATCTAGGAGATTATATGAGGTTGCTGTCAACACATGAGGAACCTTGCTATGAGGCCCCTGAATGAGGGATTAACACTTAGTAAGAGTCTCATATACTATTTTGATTTTGGATATATTTTATTTGAGTTAATAACTATTTTGAAAGGTGTTTGTTTGCGTGCAGACCCGAGCATTCCACCCTCTTTGCATTTGAATAAGGCATCTGTGTTCCACTCTCCATTGCACAATGCACCTGTGCGTAAGCTAGGTGTGTTTCATCTAGGGGGGAGGGGTGTTGTGTCCTGAGCCTGCAAGAGCTGAAAGCAGGCTCAAAAGGTTGCAAATGGTCCCGGGCATTCCAAAAGCTGCCCAGGACCAGATTCCAAAAGTTGCCCGGGACCAGACAGGGTGGCGCCAGCCTTGTGCTCATGCGGAAGGCGCGAAAATGCTCAATTCCTATTGGTTCACACTGTCTGGGTTTCTGGCCCTATAAAAGGCCTGCATGCCTTTTACTGCTTGCTTGGTTGTAGGAGAGAGAAATAAAGAGCTTGTTGTTTCACCATGTGTCTTCATCAATTGCCAACGAACCGAAAACACAACATGATCTTTAGGACATAATAGGATTAACCCACCACCATTAGAATACCAAAAAGGCACACTCAAGCTCAGGTCAAAGTACAAGCCACAGGAACAGGAAGAACCTCAAATACAAAGCCCAAAGAAGGTATAAAAGCCCACCTATCCCAACTCCATTTTGTCAGCTGTCCCAGAACCACATGCTGTCGGTTCTGTTCTTCAATAAAGAACCTTCTTTCCAAACAGCCTCCAATTTATTTATTCCCATCTTGGACTGGACCTGAAGATTTTTCTTTCAACATAACATCACAAAGCCCATTTTGAAGTTAGATAGCAAGCACTGGGCTCGCTCAGACCTACATTATTCAAATTAATAAAGCCACACAAGGTAGTTGATCACTACCCCACCAACTTTAAGGTCTTAAGAATCTGTTTTACAGTTTGCCCTGCCATTTTCAGGTCACAAATATGGTCATCAGGTAGCAAATTGGCAGTATAGGATGTGATTTTCTCACAGTTATTGCAGGCTTCTCACTGTTTTAAAAGTAAGATGTAATTAAAGAAAAATATGAGATTAATATTCTACACAACTGCCGCCTACAAGGAAAGCCAGGCTCCGTACGTATATCTAGTTGGGCAAAGCAGTTTTGAATGAATGGTTACGGAAATTAATGTTGTCATTAGTGCCACATTGACAAGGAGACAGACATTATCCTAGAGTGCCGATATTATTTATTAATTTATTTATTATTTATTTATTAAATTTATATACCGCCCTATCTCCCTTGCGGGACTCAGGGCGGTGAACAGGCGATACTAAAAACCACGAATAAATAAATAGTTTCTGTTTTAAAATCGAATTGAATAATAGGCCTGTTCTAAAAACACACCCATACAAAACCCCCCACTGAAACACAATCCAAACTACGCCAGGCCGGCCGCACGG